TCGTTTGATGAAGTTCGGAACGACTTGATGTTTTAGACAGCGGCGGAGAAAGTGTATTGACTGTCGAGCTAAGACGATCTATATAAACATTTTCTGCTTCGCAAGCTCCGTTTCGGGAAACGAATTCACTGCAGGATAAAGCCTGGAGTTCTACACACTGAGGTTTGCGATAAAACCGTGAATAGAGGCACAGCTAAAGGACCCGATTATATCATGGCCGATTTTTTTTAGAGCTAATGGCCACAAACTACATGTGTTTCGGAAAACTTAAATGACGGTTTACCATCAGAAACAGAACATTTCAAAACAGCGAAGGACCTTGCGCACGTTCATCCTGAGCAAGAAGGGTAAGCGAAGAGATCTTATTAACCTGACATGCTTGAGTGTAATCTACAAGTTGCTCACGAATATTATCCTTTTGTTTATACTAAAGGTTTTTCATATGGACAATCAGTTGAACAACGAGAATTCCAACAGTGATTCTGTTGTATGGATCATCTCCAAACCGTTTCGGAGGTCTTAGAACTGTGTCGGAAGCACGATTAGGACGTTGTCCTAACTACGAAAAACCACTTGACAACGTCGAAACGAACGTGATACCATTATCGCTCGATGTCCAGGAAGTGATCTCGCCCCATATACGAACACCAGCTGACAGTAGCCTACGGCCACATGAATGAAGAATTCCACCACCACGAGGGCAAGAGAGAAACGAATGGAAGTCATGCTGGAGCCCGCACCACCACTGGTGGTGGACGACGCAAGTAATTATGCAAGTAGTCGTGTAAATATGTATGGATATATAAACGTCATATAGAGATAACTTTAATAATCTAAACTCATCAGCACAATTCTGAAGGGTGTGTAAAACAACCATTTCCTTGGAAAAACCGAAACGAATGCTAAATGTGCCAGTGGTGTGAAAACGAAGAGCATCACGTTGAAAGTGCTTGAAAATATTTTGCATAAAATTCTAAATATAACGAGTCAACAATGAATTGAATGTGTTGTTTCAGTGGTGGTTAAAATTGAAAATATTTTGTTGCTGCCTAAACGGCTGGAAATGCAGTCTGTATAAATGTGAGGCGAATCTACGTGCAGTGATTTCCTGTTCCTCCTTGTCATCCGACAAAATTCTCTTTGATGTTAGTCTTATTGACCTTACACGATTCGGGTTCTCTGACTTCTCACTCGTATGACTTGCTACTTTCGTCGATGCGATGGTGCTGAACAGTCGGGGTTAAACGGTTGAACGATCCAGTAATGAAAAAAGTTTTGTAAAACGCTAAAATCGCCAATTAATTCAAGTCGCTTGCTAAATAACATAAGACTACCCGGATGTTTTTTGCTATGTGCTAGCTAACATAATGCCGTTTGCTATAAGTTGGAGCATTCGTTGGAAAATAAACTATTATAAGGGGAAAGTCATTGTAAACAACAAACGTTCGAGGGTCCCCAGGTGATGTTGCCTCGTTCGTGCGGTGCTCCACTAAAGAAGATATGTCTCAATACGAAGATGAAGAGGCAGCATCGAGAATTGGAACAAATGTGCACGATCGACTCTGATCATCTGCTCTGATTAAGACGATGACGTCGAAACGCTAGCGGAGAAAATATCTTCATCAACCACGTGCTAGCCTAAAAACCTACGAAGACATTGACTCTTTGAATAAACGCAGCTTCAAAGTACGGTTGAAAGCTGTTCGCTTTCCCTCGATTGTCCACTTTTTTAGGAGCCGGAAACCGAGGACACAATGGAATTTCTCGAGAAGCTGCATATCATGATGAAAGAAGTGAACAACAATCATGGTGCAGCAACTTCAGGTTACTAAAACCAAGGATTTATTTTGACTGCGAGGAACGACAATGAGTTACTTGCCAAACCTATTTCTTTCTTCCCGAAATTTATTCACTGTATCTAGAACTACGAAGATAAAGCAGGAAAGAATGGAATCGTGTGCTACCCTTATGTAGCTATGTGTGATCTACAAATTGTTCGCGTTTCCATTCGAGTGGATAGTCTATAACTATTAGCAGCGTGCCTTTGCATCTGATTGCTTCTGATCACTTTTCGTCTTTATATAAACTAACAAATTGTGACTACAATATTGATGCCAATGTTTTACACTACATAGGACTGAGAGACATGAACGCACTGCACATCATTCCTTGTTCACGAAATATATCATTTTCAACCCAGTTCCAGTTTTGCCGCTTTTGGTACGACGTTTTTCAAGTCCTCTATTTGACATTATGAAAAAAATAGTGCTTATCATTGTCTGTTGGTCGAAAATCATGCATTAACCCTGAAGACAGCTGGGCAACCAAGCGACGATTTTTCAGGCTCAAATTCCACTTGCCATTGTTCTATTTCATTCAACGTGTTGTTTTTCTCAATGGTTTTTGACACCTTTTTCGATATAAGGCGGCTCAAACTAGAGAAACATCGTCAATTAGACGTAATAGATGAGCTTTGTTGTATTTAGTGCGTTTCAGCAGTTGTTCTTTCTTATTTGTCCTCACTTGGACGCTTAATCGATAACGTGAGGATGCTGTTGGTATTAGCAATGAAAAAGGTTTTATTTTCCATAAGATCTCACGACTCCACTTTATTTCGTTGCCGTCGAGGGCATGTTTTCTTTCGTTCCATTGGTCGAAAATCATGCATTAACCCTAAAGAGTTTTAGGATGCGAGCTTTGCTAATCACAATTTTGGCTGCTCACATGAGCGCAGGAATATTTTATAGTTCGGAAACGACAAGTGAAGGAATCACTAGCGAAAAGAGCTTTGAAGAAAAACTAAAAAAAGGATATAACTTGCTCAAAAATGTAACTATCTCTAACAGAATTTTGAAATATATAGTAATGCCCTTTGTAAAATGTGTTTGGTTTTTCAGCAACCACATGAGTACGATACGGTAAGGCTTCTCGAGCAATTGCACAATATGGAAACCGAAATAAAGGGTAGATTTGCTAAATCTTCAGAACTGAATGTTGAATCAATAAATGAAATTGAGGTTAGTTAGCACGCTTCTTTCGAATGAATATCAGTAGGTAAAGTTAAGTTCTCAGCGTTATGTGGAAGCAAAAAACGACCATATCCAAGCAGTCGATGATACAATAGAAAGAAACAATCGGAAGAGCAAAGTTGACATGGCGTTGTTTCAAGGAGATATGATCCTTACCAAGTTAGTAAATTTATGAGTTTTTTACTCATGAGTTGTCGTTTTGGATGCCGTGGTTGTGTCTTCAGTGAGCAAGCCGAAGAGATTATGGAAGACGTCAAAAAGAACGAAAGCGGTCGTAGAAAACGACAAGCACGCCGTGACTTCAGATATCCTAGATCTATTTGGTCAAAAGGAGTGAATTACGCATTTTGGAACGCATGTATGTTTTTTGGTTGTTATTCTTTTGTCGAAATCTTACTTAAGTCAGATCAATAAATAGTACAAATTTAGCTAATGAGGCGATGACGGCTTTCAGAAAAGCTGCAGCTCTGTGGTCTGAGGATACTTGCATTGACTTCGTGGAAAACAATACAGGCAAGACAAAAACAGTAACTGAAAGCAAATGCGGTTTCAGAGCTGGCCTAATCAAAAAGTATTTCACCAGTAAGTATTCAGCCGTTGACAGAATTGACGTTATCAAGAGTGTTGGATGTTTTTCTTATGTCGGAAAAGTTGGACGTACGCAGAGTTTCTCATTAGGAGAGGGATGCGAGTCGGTAAGCCCAAGAAATGTTTATTGAGTTCGTCATTGGCTTTCTCTTAAAAGTTTTTAAATAACTTTAGCAAAAAAAATAGGGATGGCAAATATCTTAGTGAAAATGCTATTTGGCACAGATTGGGACAGCTTCGCACGAACTCGGCCACGCTTTGGGTTTCATTCACACTCAATCGAGACACGATCGTGACAGCTTCATCACACTTTTACCAGAAAACTTTTTGGTGGGTTTATAAATAACACCAAAGACAACCTTATTGAGAAGCGATTTGATTCTAGGACGGCTGGATATCCCAGTTCGTAAAGGATTCAATATACATTAATCACAACTATAATCTGACCTATGATTATGGAAGTATTATGCATTACTCAACAGGGAGGTGGGTACGACCAAGACACAATGAATTTGTTCGAAATCGAACAAGGTAAAGATTTATACTTTAGCGTGTCTAAGAATGGCCAACCTACGATGCTCCCTCGCCTTCCCAAATATTTGAAAACTCTTGGATCGCGAATTATCTCGTTCTACGATAAACTTATGATGAACTTGCATTATGGATGTCTAGGTAACAAGAAGCTCTTGATTCTTCACTTGGCAACTTTTTCAATTGTGAATTAATCTAGACAGGTGCAACGGAAGCTCGACGGCTGCGTGCGAAAATGGTGGATTCCCGCATCCCAGAGACTGCTCTAAATGCGTTTGTCCAAGCGGATATGGCGGAAGACTTTGCGATGAAAGAGTGAAAAAATTTCCTTTTAATACATAGTAGTCTTGATGCCGCAGAAAAAAGGGGCTCGGGTGGCGCTGTGGTAGGAGGCGCCCTGCAACACACACGTGGAGTCGATCTCCGCGCTCATGGCCCACCAAGCCTTCCATCTCTACAGGTTTTCAAAATTGGTACCAGAATTGTTTGGGAGAATATCAACTCTGGCTCGACACATGGGCAGGCCACTCCAAATCGTCGTAAAGGCCAGATATGCATTCATTCACCTCTAAACGTTGCTTGATAAAGTAGAATGTATGGCGCATCTCTCAGGAATTGAGAACTTTATCCTTCTAATCTTGACCCTTATATGAATGTAGAAATCCTTCAATGATGCTGAGATATTTGCAAAACTCCGGACCGTAAGTGTCATCATTGACGTTGTATTTCGCAATACATCCTGCCGTTAAAAAGAATAGGCAGTAAATAATAAGTTGAAATAGAAATCCTTGTTTACAGCCAAGTGGTTGCGGTGAGATACTAACAGCAACTGCCTCCTTTCAAACTCTTGAACAAATAGTTGATGATAAGAATGGAGATAAGGCAAGCAACGACTACAGGATGTGCAACTACTGGATTAAAGTAGTGTAATATGCTCTAAGCTATAGTAACTTTGATGATAACGATAACATTTTAGATAAGCACACTTTAAGGCACCACCCGGTTCTAAAATCGAGGTAGTCCTTGATTACTTCACGAGACGTTTCAGCAATGATGGTTGTGTGCATGGGGGAATTGAAATAAAAACGGAAAACGATAAACGCCTTACTGGTTACAGGTAGGCGTTTAGAGCTTGGGAATGTTAGTGTTTCTATAACCCAAAATGTTCAGATTCTGCGGTAAGGAGAGTGCTGGAACATCTTTGATCTCTGCGCACAACATCGTCCCCATAATTACATACACTGAACGCCGCAGAGTCATAACTACTTTACGCTACCGAATAGGTATTGCTTACTTAAACAGCCGTAGTTCTTGTAACGGGTTAGTGTTCAACGAATTCTTGCAGCTTCCGATGATCCAGAGATATCCCACACGACGTCTCGACCTACATCCGGCCTCACACCGCGTTCCACTCTTTACTCAACTTCTTCCCCTAACACTAGTTGCAAGGACAAATATGTGTATGTATGCGCTAGTAATGACTCATTTATACTCCTATAAAGTCTAAACTGTTTTTTAGGTGTGCTCAACTTATGAGGAAGCAGGACTTTTGTCGTTCCTCCAAGTACAGAGAGAGCTACAAAAAATTTGTGTGCTCAAAATCGTGTGGCTTTTGTTCATAGTTGTTATTTTTCGTGAAATAAATGCAATGAATAATACCTCTTCTTAAATATTTTCGTATGAAGTATTTCGGAAATGTTGGTGCTCCTGTACCTTCAAAACCACATACAAGAATGAATGCATATACCATGAGCCAACACATATTGAATACTAAATTAAACACGTTGAAGAATCTGAGCTGAGTAGAGTAGCTACTTCTTTGTCACAGACGCTCAGAAGTAAGTAGTGTAGTCTCCATGCCTTTCCATTTTTCAGTTGAAATTTCAGGTGTAAGAACTAAGCCTTTCACCCAGATATCAAACATTCTCTTAAGGACTAATCCACGTGAGACTTTAGGCAACATTTGGCTAAACATTGGCACCGCACGTAGCATATATTGTCATATTTAAATGCGGCAATCAGTTGGTCGTGTCTAATTTGCTTTCCTTTGATCACCACTTTCTGGAGGAGTTCAGTAAGACGTGGTTAAATAGTAATGCTACTACTGATAGCACCTACAGCTCAACAGCAAGGCCGAGAAAAAGACGAATAACGAAGGAGTCGCATGGTGTGGTGCTGAACGAATTTGCCCCTGAAAGAGTAAATAGCGAGTCCTTCTCCACCGTACACGCTAGCGGTTCAGAGTTTTGTAAACATCTTAGGATCATTTTGAGAATAATGGTACTCGTATGAAATGCTGAGATATTTGCAAAACTCCGGACCGCAGGTGTATGCAGTGGGGAACGAACACGCGCTGTTGCCTTTACCGGGGAGCAGCGCGCTTCACCACCACACCATCCGGGTCCTTCATCTTGCCTCTCTCTCAACTGGTTCTATCGATCTTTTTGCCATCTGCAATTACCCGTCAACGGGATTGATCTGGGAAGCCAAAATCGGCATTGAACGCAGTTAAGCTGAGGCTTAGTTATAATCACAATCTTAACCCTTTTATTTACTCCTTTTTCTTCTTAATGGCAGGATATGTTGGTGGTGAAGTGCGCTGCTCCCCGGTAAGGACAACAGCGCGTGTTCGTTCCCCACTGCATACACCTGCGGTCCGGAGTTTTGCAAATATCTCAGCATTTCATACGAGTTATATTTCGCAACATATCGTGCCATTAAGAAGAAAAAGGCAGTAAATAAAAGGGTTAAGATATTAATGGTACTGTTGAAAGAAATGATGGTTCGCGGATGTTCTTATTGCTATATATCAGTGTGAATTTAAGGATCCTTTCTTTTAGACAATTCTTTTGAAATCTACATTCTTCAAGATTTTCACTCGCACGTGATGTGTGTTTCGTCTGGTCGCGTTTGTGGATCAGTGATTTCACATAGCGTTCATTGGTGGACGAAGACGGCAAAGAAAAGGGGCAAACTCCTTCTACATTACTTTTTCAATGATTTTAGTCTTTTTAGTCCTTTTTCGCAACAATTCAATTCACTAACTGCTACTGAGGAAACCAGCCACAAACTACAGCGTTGAAACTGTTAAGATGAAGTTATAGAATTTTTGCCTACGCTAACCACTATTAACGAGAAAAAAATCACCTGCTTTCATTAGCGGTGATCCTCTAATGCTTGAGCTCTTTTGTTTAAGAACGGAAATCAAAGAGCAGTGAACGAGAACAGGGCAAAAAATCCAATGGATGAATGGTAGCTGTTTGAGCTTGAAACTTCACGTGTTGGTTAACTGGCTGCCTTCATAGACAATACACGATTTATGATCAACGGCTACAGTTTTAGAAGGGTGTTCGCGTTCAGTAAACATCAAATTGCCTCCCGGATTTGCTCAATGATCAGAAAAGTGAGAACGAAACTTTAGAAAAATAATTCATTTCGCGAAAAAACGTGATGTGTAGACCACTCACACTGCAAAATAATAGTGTTTTTTTTTATATTAAACCCCTTATTTATGAAAAAGCGAAGGAACCGACTCACTCTTTCCTCGATGAGGAAACGCCAGGTTGTCGGACACCTCCATAACGAAACAGAGAAAATGCTAAACTAAGATTTCAGTCACACTGAACACAGAATAACACCCTTGCACACTCATCGCTCCCTATGAATCTGCATAAATGTGAGGCGAATCTACGTGAAGTGATTTCTTGTTCCTCCTTGTCATCCGACAAAATTCTCTTTGATGTTAGTCTTATTGACCTTAGACGATTCGGGTTCTCTGACTTCTCACTCGTATGACTTGCTACTTTCGTCGATGCGATGGTGCTGAACAATCGGGGTTAAACGGTTGAACCACCCAGTAATGAAAAGAGTTTTGTAAAACGCTAAAATCGCCAATTAATTCAAGTCGCCTGCTAAATAACATAAGACTACCCGAATGTTTTTTGCTATGTGCTAGCTAACATAATGCCGTTTGCTGTAAGTTGGAGCATTCGTTGGAAAATAAACTATTATAAGGGGAAAGTCATTGTAAACAACAAACGTTCGAGGGTCCCCAGGTGATGTTGCCTCGTTCGTGCGGTGCTCCACTAAAGAAGATATGTCTCAATACGAAGATGAAGAGGCAGCATCGAGAATTGGAACAAATGTGCACGATCGACTCTGATCATCTGCTCTGATTAAGACGATGACGTCGAAACGCTAGCGGAGAAAATATCTTCATCAACCACGTGCTAGCCTAAAAACCTACGAAGACATTGACTCTTTGAATAAACGCAGCTTTAAAGTACGGTTGAAGGCTGTTCCCTTTCCTTAAACCGCCCGCTTTTCCTAGGAGCTGAACGCCTACTATACAATGGTATTCCTCATTAAAATTGCACCTCATAAAGAAAAAGGTCGACGACGTATATGTTGCACCAAATTTAGGTTACTAAAGGCAGTAAAGAATAAACGATGGAGATCTCGCCGTTGATTAATCCCTGAGGGATGCGCCATGCATTCGGCTTCACTAAGCATCGTTGAAGGTAATTGAATACATATCTAGCATACACAGTGACTCGTGGTGGCCTACTGATGTATCGAGCCAGTGATGCTGTCCTCCCAGACCAGTCTGGTACCAGTTTACCGACCCCCGATGGATGGAAGGCTTGTTGAGCCTTGGGTGCAGGAACCGGCAGTGTAAGCACTGTAGAGCGCCTCCGACCTTGTGGATGCCTACGGCTGTTAGTAATGTATCTTTACGACTGGTCATCCTGATAATTTTTTGTTGCTGTACAGACTAACAGCTTATTGTAAATGTCGCATGATTCCTAATGTTTCCACTGACTAGTAGTTGGAAAGATGAACATGCTTCACATCATTCCTTGTTTGCCAAATGCATCGCTTTCAACAGAGCTCTCATTTTACGGTATTCACTGTGACTTTCTTAAAGCCAGCGTTCACGGCTGTTTGAGATCGACTGAGAAAAACCAATACTCAACATAGCCAGTTGATCGGAAATTGTGCATTGGATAAATCTTTCTACTCCTGTTCAGCAAACATGAGGTGTTATTTTATTTCTTTATTTACGTACAAGATGACATTTCGGCTGATTTTCCTCAGGGCCTGGAAAGGTTAAGTTGACTACAATCTACACGGTCAAACACCTCCATAACCAAGTAGAGAAAATGCTGGAACAAAATTTCAATCACATTGAACACAGCTTTGCACACTCGCTGCTTTCTATGAGGCCTCCACTGAGTATGTCGCGTGAAGACCAACCGCAAAACTCACACAGAATTGTGCATTGGCTCTGAAAACAGCTGGTTAACCAGGAGAGAAGGCTTCATGCTCAGCATCCTTTTGCCATTCGTCAATCCCGCTTTGTTTACTGTTTTGTTCGCTGATTTTTGATTCCTTTTTCTAGATGGGGTGGTTCAGGCTAGAGAATCGCCGTCACTTAGGCATGATAGGTGAGCTTTACTCTATTATTGTGTTTTGAAAAAATTCTCTTTTAGTCGTTTTTCTCCTGCTCTTTTAATACGTAATAATTTTAATGTCTATAAAAATATAAAGATTCCTGTTTAGAAACAAATGGTTGTGATAAGATAGTAACAGCAACTTCCTCCTTCTAAACTCTTTAACAAAGAGTGGGTGATGAGAAGGCAAGCAACGACTACAACATGTGCCACTACTGTATTAAAGTAGTAATCTGCTCTATGCTGTAGCAATATTGACTATAACGATAACATTTCAGATAGCATTCTTCAAGGAACCAGCTGGCTCCAAAATCGAAGTAGTTCTTGATTGCTTCACGAGACCTTTCAGTAACGATGGTTGTGTGCATGGAGGAATTGAAATAAAAGCGGAAAGCGACAAACTCTTTACCGTTTATTGGTAAGCGTCTAACACTAGGAAATGTTAGTTTCTATGACTAAACGTGTTTAGATCCTTCTGTAAGGAAAGTGTGGGGACATCCTTGGTCTCTACACACAACGTTGTCCCCAAAATTACATACACTGAAGGACGCGGAGTCATACTATTTTACGTTATCGAATAGGTATTGCTTAATTGAATAGCTCTGCTCTTTGTAACTGGTCAGCGTTATACCAGTTGCTGCAGCATCCGATGTTCGAGAGATTTCCTA